TATTAGGCAGGTTTTAAGAGCTCAGAAGCCTTTTCAATTGATCAGTGTTTGATAATCAGCATGAAAAGCAGTCCTGCCAGTAGCAAAAGCAGTACCCTTTTCCAGAGAGAGAAAGAGTCTGACAACATACAGTATGTTCCCGGTTCCCACTGCCACAGAGACACTGGGGACAATGGACTGCAGAGACAAAATGATCCTCCCACACATGAAGTTGACTCAGGCTCCCTCAGTACGAGCATCAAGCTGGCTGAAGTGTCCATTTAGACTTCACCAAGTTCTCCAAGCACAGACTTCTCTTGTATATCTCCCCATGGATGATCTAAATTGCACCCTCAACATTTCATTAGAAGCTTGTCCCCTCTATGCTGCATTTTCCCCATGTTTTCAATGACCATCACTCACATAATATGCAAAGCCAATACGGCTGGTATCTTCTCCCAGGTCATCTCGATTGAGTGTGAATGTCACCTGGACACTCTGTTTCACCCCACAGGGCAGTGTTCCTGTGAGCGGCTGTATGTCCAGGAAGCTCTTTGTGGTGACGTGGAAGGGTTGCAGCTGATGGTAAGCATTTGTGTAATTGATGCCAGTTCTTCGAGGTGCATGCATAAGATCCTCTGGTTTGAACCTTCCCTGGGAGTGCACAAGAGACAAAAGTCAAGAAAGAAGAGTTTTCTGCTTCATGGCTTTGTTAGATCCTGACAATGCTGTGTAGGCAATCCAGGGCTAAACTGTCAGGAGGAATACAGGACAGGAGTAGGGGGCACTGGCAGAGCTTCAGGGTTCTAAAACCTTCACTTTCATGTATGTGGAGGTGGGATTTACCTCCAAAGAGACTGAGGAGCTGTTCCAGGCAGATGTATCCAGGTTGAATGCTGCTCTTCCACTGCCATCCGTGATATACACTTTGATGAACCGGCGCCTCATGAACCTTATCACAAGATAAACTTTTTTGTTTTTCATACCATTTCCATGGTGATCCTGAAGCTTAATCTGGTGACAGCAAGGAAGGGCAAAAAAGCCAAAGTCAGATGTTCTTTCCACTATCCTGACTAAAACCTTCCCCCCGCTGACAAACACAGACCTCATGTTTAGGCTACCTTAGCTTCAGTTTTGTCCCCAGGAAGGCAGAGGCCTATAAAGCTCTCTCACCTCCAAAACTAAACTGAGAGGCTGAATACTGTCTCCTCTCAAAGGTGTGTGTAGCTAACCATGTGAATTCAGGTCCTAGCAACAGCAAAAAGATTCCCACAAAATCACTTATTGCTCTCAGCAAAAGCCTTAGTTGAAATTAAAGCAGGAAATCTGAAGTGCTGCAACGGGAGCCGTACTGCTCCACTGTGCTGTCAAGCAATGTGAAACATGGTAAGGAAAGTTCAGCAACAAAGTCTTGGAATGGGGAAACATACCCCCTTTTTCTGACTGTCTGATGGTTTCCATCAGAAATGGTGTGGGTCAACAAAATTTACTAGACACTAAATCCATGTGCAAATTAAGGACTAGCAAGGAAGCAAATGGAAAAATCACCTTCCCTCTGTAGGGTACTCCAGGGATGTAGTAAGCATTCGGTGTCTCAAACACAGCCCTTGCAGTTGTCCTGGAGATAGGGATTTGCCTGGAGGCGTTGATTTGCACCCCTGTTGGAATGTGGAGTATAAGGTAAGCAAGGTCAGACTACTCCATCTTAGTTTAATTTCACTTTGTTATTCTCACACCCTCTAACTGGAGAGCCTCAAACTTCTTTCCTGATGTCAGCACCCTTTAAATGTTTAGAGGCTGTTCCTGTGGCAGCTCTTCCTTCAGGCAGAGCTGCCATGTTTTCAAGCCCTCTTGTGGCCTCGTGCACCAGTCCCAGACACATTTCATCCGCCTGCTGCTGGTGGTTATTCTCTATGGGCACAGCAAGTTCCCTGCACAAGAGCATTTGCCGTGTCCTGTGATGGTCCCTCTCATCCTTGCACTTTCTCTGCAGGATATAATTGTAAGCTGACCTGCCCAGTACCTGTGCCAGCCTCCAGAAGAGAGGCCTCTGCATAGAGCTTGCTGTCCTCCTCACTGTGTGCCAGGTTAAAGACTGTCATGCTTACAGAAGTGGTGAAACAGCCCTTGCTCACTGTCTGCAAGAGAAAGTAGTAGATGTTATTTGAAGCTGTTGAAAAGAGATTGTGTTACACGTACATCACTTAGTCATGCTGTCATAACTGTTGATTTCAACAAGCTATAATGCAGCCCCAGAGTCTAGTCTTAGCCTGATTTAGGAGGCTGTAATTAGCAATAGAATTATTCTTTTCCCATGCGTTAAAGACTCAGTGTCTCTCTTCCCTCCCAAATACATATAAACTGATACTATATGTGTGCATGTATACACACACACATACAGAGACATGTGTGTATGTACACAAACACATATATTCAACACACACACATTTTTCAATACATATATACTGAAAAATGCATTATCCTCTTTTATATATGCAAACATATATAAAAATATAATTCATATTGCATAAGTATAAAACAAATCATGTATCACACAATGTTGTTAACTTTCCAGCTTCTGTAAAAAAAAAATCTCACTAACTGGATCACAGAGCAAATATTTTAAGAATACAGGTGTATTTTAAGAATTCTGGGAATGAGAACTGCAGAAGCAAATGAATATTCAAAGCAACTAATCAGCTCCAGAAGTAGAAGATTATAATCACTATAAGAAGTCATAATGACAAATCATAAAGGATAAAAAGTTTCTGATCATACTGTAGAATTGAAGAGCTCAGCTATGAAACACTTTTTTTATGGATAGAGAGGCAGAAACAAGATATAAAAATGAATTTTGTACAATTAATCATGTCTCTACCATACATTAGAATTCTTGTGCAGTTACACCTTAACAGGGTATTTTTGCACCTGTGAAAGGTCATTAGTTATTGCTTCTTACACTGTATCAATTCCTGGCTAATTTTCTTCTTTCCAGAGAAAACAATTTCAGGGTTTTTTTTTTTTCCCTGTGGAATTCCTCTTTTCCAGTCTCTCTCATTTTAAACAAAGTTTAAAAAAGAACTTTTAGGGTAAAGGTTTGTCAGATGGTCTGGGCAACATAAATTGCCTTAATTGAATCAATCAATTAATTATTAATCTACAGATATACTATGGAGGTTGGCAAACCTCAGCTAAATATCCCAGAATGAATAACTGTGTTGCAGTCTATTTCATTTCTCTAATCCCTTGACACATTCTTTGTGGTTCTCCTCCACTTTTCACATATCTTCCAGACCACTTACCAGACCACTATACTCCCTACAGATATCTTTGCTGGCATTTTGAAGACGCCTCCTCACTTTCTGGCACACTGTGACATGCATGGTCCCTTGCACTGCTTTCCCGTAGTGGTACCTGCAAGGAGAACACCAAAGGAGCAACCAAGCAGAGCCAAACTGAGAAATATATTTTCATATATATATATAATTATTGTGCTGTGTCTATTGCTACTCACAGGTGGTCTTCCTGATAAAAACATCAATGCAGTTAGTAAGCAGTCACAAATGAATTAAAACACTGTAATTGGGGAGTTCAATATCACAGTCCTGCATCCAGCAGATGGAGATACAAAGCACCACGTTTTGCATGTCTGCCCACCAGACACCCAAATTCACCAGACAGAAGCAGAGACCTGACCTGAATTGATGTGTCCACATAGCACATAGCAGCATCCAGTGGAGATAATAGCTCAGGTGTGAAAGCAGAGGAAAACAGTCTCTACAGATATCAATAGCAAGTGCATGGCATTGATACAGCTTCATTATTCGCCCTGATGGCGAATTAGCAGAACCTACTCAGGGCCTCTGCCCTCACAGTGGAGACACTCCGTCCATCTCTCAAACAAGAAGCCATATTTCACTCTTGCACTGAGTCCTTGGTCACTGTTATTCAGGAGACAGCAAGGCTGGCAGAGCTGGGATGGAATTAATGCTGTAAGCTCTGAGGAACTGTGGCTTATTGCAACACCAGTTTTCCATGACAGTTAACGGCCCTTTTAATTGCAGAAGTTTATGTACCACTGCAGAAGAAACTACTGGTACACCAACCAAATCTGCAGCTTCTTTCCCCTATTTGTAGGGGATTGGCTACCTGTGTTAAAAGCCAGCTCTGAGGTGCTGGAGCTATATAACCTTGCAGCAAGATCTCTGAGGCCCCCTCACCAGGGCCTCTCACACTTCACTATATTTAAGGTCCAGACTTTCAGCTATGTTGTAGATAAACTTTTGCCAGTCCACATACTTCACTGATGCTCACACTGACTCACTGACTTGACTTCCTAGATTAACTCAGGCCTTCCTCATCATTAAGGACTCATCTGGTGATCTTGACTCTTCTCTAAGCCTAGTTTTCACCATCAGGCCTGCTCCACTTTCCTTGCCCAGGTAGTATAAGAATGCAGCATTGTCAGTGAGAGCATTTCTCTTGCCTGCCTTGCTGTCACGCTTGGCTCCTGTTTGGCCTTCTCTTAAGGAGTAATGTGTATTTACTGCTCCCTAATAGTATCAGTGGCAGGAAGACACCAATGGCCCACCCAGAGCATGAGGAGTCCCACATTGTTTTCTACTAAAGCTTCAAAAAATATGTTTTTAAATCTCCCAGTTAGTGAGAAATTTTGTCAGTACAGCAGCAAAGAGGAAGCAAAAGTTTCCAGACAATGCAGCTCCAAACAAGGCTCGGTTTAGACTATTTTCTGTCCAGAAAATGCGTCCCAGATCTTTCACCTTTGCTTTCTAGCGCTTTTACCTTCTGAGATCATCTTCCTTCATACCCTCATCTACTCAGTTTTTGCTTATGGTTACAAAACTAAAGAAACCCACCCTAAGAAGGTAACAAATTCAGCAGCATGTGAGGAAGAAGGAACATCTTAACCTTCCAAAGAAAGCACGAGTTCCCATTCCTTTACTTCAGCAGATCAATCTAGTATCAGACATGCATTTTACTAAACCTAAGGTTATTCAAGGCCAACACATAGCTTCCAGAGCAAGGTTATCTCTTACCAAGGATGTCTCCCTGTAGCTAGGTAGTATCTATCAAGGGCAGCTCATATAACTCTTCCCCAAGGAAGAATATAATAGTGTGACCACAGCTGTGATTCTTCAAAAGAACTGTTTGTATTTGGCTCTCCTTGAGTGAATTCTACTTCTTCATGTGTTCATGAGAGGTGATGTGAAAAGACACGCAAGGTTTGATGAGTTGTTCCTTTGCCACTGAATATCCTCCTCACCTGCCACAAACACGCAGCAGGAAAGTTTTATCTGAAGCATAAATCTGAGCTGGTCTCTCGAAGAAAACATCAAATTTTGGCAACTCTGGAAACAAAAATTACAACGTTACTCCATCAAAGGCACTAGTATACCTAGACATGAAATCAAGAAAGTATTCACTCAATACTGTAGTCCCATGCATGAACATGCTAATGAGATAAAAGCTAGGACTAATTAAAAACAGGGACACCAAAGAGAAAATACTTTTTGTTCACTGCCATATGAGCAATGTCACAGAAGTTCTTAGAAATTCTCACTTCGCAACAGTCTAGTTGTTACTAGATACCTTCTTCAGGACTCTCCAGTACAATTTCCCTTGTCTGTATTTTTGATATTGTCCATTAGTGAACTGCTCATTCCTAGCTGTCAGAGAGTAATATTGCAGTTATTAACCTTTTCTGTTATATAGACAAAACAATTTTTTTTCCACCCAATTCTTTGTTCTCCATACTCCCTCTTACCATACTCCTCCACTTGAAATGTACTGGACACCTTTGGGTTCATGACATTAATGGTGTAAGTCCCCAAGGAGAGTTCAGCAGCTAACTGGAAAGAGAGATCTGCAATGCCCTGTCTTGGTCTCACATCCAGCCATTGGCCAATTTGGTTTTGGTTTGGATCCTGCAGTCAGAGGGAAGGAAATAAAAGACAGTCATTAGCGACACCTGCTAATCTGAATCCAGAGCTCACAGGATTCAATGAGTTTCAGAGATTTCAAAATTTCAGACTCCTACTGATTTTTCTCTTAAGATTCTGAAGAGGTTTGAATCACTGTGTAAACATACAGAGGTGAACCAAGCAGATTCCTTTTCACATCAAGGATTACTCTGCTTTATACTATCATCTAAAAAGAAACTATGAAAGCTCCTGAATTATAAGTGCTCTAGTCTTATTTAAGGATAAAGCTTTGTTTCCAGAAATATTGGATAGATGCTTGTATCTATGTGTATGCATAGATCCTAAGAAAATTACTTATATTTAGTAAGAAAACCACATATGTACCAATCATGCTCCTTATATCAGTTGAAGATTTTGATACACCCACCTGTATTTCCACCACCGAATACTGCAATGCAAACAGAATGGAATGTTAGAAGCTGTCATGATATAGCAATCCTACATACAAACTTATCGTACATAACCCATGTGCTATGACAATACTGCCTGTCCCCAAAACTACAAAGGGCTTGATTCTACAGAAACCAGGCGGATGGCCTTGAAATAATAATAATAATAATAATAATAATAATAATAATAATAATAATAATAATAATAGGTGCTATTATTTGTTTTTTTCTTTTTGTGCCCTGAATTTTTAGCATGCACTTTAGTTGCCTTTTTCAAGCTTTACTCTGTGATCATAAAAGTTAGGATACATTTTTTTTTAAAGCAAAAAAGTATAGAGCTTCATAAATACCACCATTCCAAAACAACAGATTTTGAGGCATTGGTTTTGTAATACAGATCCCAGTAGTTAGCACCACTGCCTTATCTGCAAGGAGGCTACACTTATGGTTTTCTCTCAATTCCCTGGCCTAGAAAATAAGGTTTAGAGATATGAATTACTGCTGTCTATGGTTAACAGTAATGGAGGCAGAAAGCAAAACATACTTCATCAGCCTTTCTAGGCTTATTAATTTTGTTTTTGCACTCTTGTCAGTGCAACTATCAGCTAGGAGGCAAGAGTGGCTAAGGGCTTGGCATTTGGGAGAGTTAGGCACACATAGGCAGGGAAGGGGAAAATGTTACTGGTCTGTAAGCATAAGGCCATTTTTAAATCACATTATTCATCATTCTAAGCTTTCATACAAGTTATTATAGGCAGCTCTATATTGAAACAAACAAACAAAAAAGGCAGATTAACTTTTTTCGTAACTGCAATACCACATCAGTTCTAAGAATAAAACGAGCAAGTGAATAGCACCATTCTTATCTCCAAGCAATCTAATTAGCAAATTATATATTATGGTTCTAATGCTGCAATATTGTTTAATAAAACTTTATTATTATTATTATTAATTACCATATTTCATTATTACATATCATTAACATTTATAATGCTAATTTTCTTGCACTCACAAATAGATGTAAAATATTTATGGTCAAATATAATAAACCATCTTAGCAATTGTGGGCATGGAAGCAAATATATTGTTTAAGTTAAACGCATTAATACCCTAGCAAATAGCAAGATTATTACCGTGATATCCAACTAACATAAGGAGATACCTTCTCTGTCAGGGGAAGAAAGAGAATGCATAATCCTAGACCCTGATCAGGAACTCCAAAGAGAGAAAATTAGTTTAATTCAATCTAGGAGGATTTGATTTAATTCTCTGTCCTTTCAGGGGACAGGCAGTCCCTGTGTGTGCCTTTCAGTGTTTAGTCATGGCATGAATTCCTGTTGGCACTAGTTTAATTGCCTCAGGACACGGGAATTTGAAATATCTATAGTTATTGACTGCATGTATAATTGCTTACCTTTGAAGAATGCTACTCTTGGAGTCTCCTGGCTAACATATATGCAAACCTTTCTCAACTAAAACCATTTCTTACTTCTCTGGCATGGGAAAAATCAGAGGCTGCTGACAAGAGGCCAGTATAATTTGAGTATATTGCTTTCTAGCTATTATCTTTTTACTAATAAATTTCATGAATAGTCTTTCCCATATCAATTTTTTAATTGAAATTTTGTGGATACTTCATAGATCACTTCAGGATATCCTGACACCCTTAGATACAATACACTGCACAAAAAGCTGGGCTTTTCAGAGCTGCAGGAAAAGAGTTGTGGTCCTGGCTAAGTCTCCATTTTTGGAGAGTTTGTTTTTTTAGTTTGTATAGTATTTATGTCTACACCCTGTAGATTCCTCCAAAAGCTCTGCTTTTTCTGGCAGTGGAGACAGCTTCACACAGCTTCTGGATTGCCCTTAACTAACTCAGTTAGCAGCAAGTGTTGGCACACTCTCCAAATACAAGCACCAATTTCAAGCCTCCCACCAGCCTCCTGTGAGAAAGACGATACGGCTAGTCTTTTACACTCCTGGTGCTGTTGTTTCATTTTAATTCAGTAAGAGGTGAGTGTCTACTACCTTGCATATTACAAAGACTCAGACTGTCTCAATGTACACAGCTTGGAATTGGCAGAGGAGAGAGAATTGACGGAGGAAATCAGGAAAATTCCTCATATCCACTCAGATGGGCTTTACCTTGCTGTTTACAGGAACAAAATCTTCAGTCAATGTCACTACTCGAAATTTCACTGAAGGAGAAAAGTGAAGAAAAGAGCACATTCTAAAAATGAATTACATTCAGAAATGGGCCTCCCCTGTACTTACCTCACCCTGAAATACAGAGCTGCCCATCAGCTCTGCTAGCACTCCCCCAGTCCTATCCTGTAGAACCCATCTTATCATTTGTTTAGCCTTGCACACAGCTCTCTTTTCTCCCTATATGCAGAAAATCGTAATGTTCTTGTCTCTTTTTTAGATTGTCTCTTCCCACCTAAAACTGGTGCCGCCTATGAGCAACTTAAGCAGTTGTTTAGAGCCATAGACAAAAAAAAAAAGGTGGACAAAAGAGTTCTACTTGCTTCCTCACCTGTGTCTCCTGTGTCTGGAAATCTGGAGAGGGTGCTGCCAGAAGAAAGATGGGAGTGTGCAGTGTTTTTTTCATTCTGGCTTTCCTGATAGCAGACGCTATCTTGGCTTTTGAGACCTCCTACAGCAGCACAGCAGCAGACCTAACATTTGCAATCTTATAGGCTAAACCCTGAGTTGCCCTTATGTTTCCTTCATCTGCAGGCTAGTCTCACCCAGCCCTGACAAGTTCAGGGGCAGCTCTGTTCCTACAGCTTTTGAGGCTGAGATTCAGCCAATCTCCTCCTTCACGTAAAACATGATGAAAGGCTGAACATCTGTTCATCATCCCAGCACCTCAGGAGGTAGTATGGGCCTCAGTCATGCATAGATTCCCTCTCCATCCCCACAGATATAGTGTAGCACAAACACTCAGCACTTTCCTCAAGGAAAAGACTGGAACAAATTCCAGACAGGTCAAAGTAGGCAAACTGTCAAGCATGCTCCATGTAGAGCGCTCACCTGTCTGTCCTGGTTTATAAGTGTGTTTATCCAACTGGATGAATGTGCTTGTGCCAGCCCTGCGGATCAGGACTTTCTTCTCTTCTTTAGCACTGAAATAGTGGCCATTGGAGATGTGCAGCTGTACAGTGACCACCTCTTGTGAACCTGCAGGTTGGGGGACCTAGAACAGGAAAGAGAAGTTACGCGGTTAGCAGGAAATATCTCTTCTCATCACTCCTCCTGCACTGTGAAGCCATCTCATTCCCTATCCTACTCTAAAGGCTATCTCCTGTCAGCACAGTGTATTTCCTCAATGACTAAAGGGCTGTGTGTATGAAAGGGGGCATTAATTACAGGGGCAGAGTTATGGGGGCATCAGTTTGTACGCAGGGGCAGGCCTCAGAGAAGTGGAAGAGGGAGCCTGTTCTATTGCGCTTGCCCCCTTCACATAGCCCCTGTTGTAGTCTGCATGGAGTGAACTGAGGAAGACTTTGACCAAGGGAAGAAGAGGTCAATGCTCATAAGAAATCTGTTTTCTGGCCAGTTTCAGGACTGCATGTGTCATGGAGACTAAAATGCACTTTTATTCATTATGGCAAGCCAAGGTAAAAGTGTTCAGGAGGTTGACATTTAAGAGCCCTGTGCTCAGCCTCTGTGGACACACTTCCATGCCCTTCCTAGGCCTCCAGCACATTTTAAAGCAATTAAAGAGCGTCTTGGAGAGAATCATGTTGAGGGGAGGCTATCTGAATTGTGAGGCCTGGTTCTTCTCCAAGTGAAGCATTTAAGCTGTTTGATACACAGATGCACCCTGTGACAGTGCTTTCTTTTCAGGGGAGAGAATAAACTACACAGCTTACAAGTGGACGCTTCTAAGCTCCTCCATCTTTTCCAGTCCCTGGGTGCCTGGCCAGGCTGCCCTTCCCTCACTGAACTGTGTCAGCAGGGTGGATTGTGAGAGGCCCAGGAGGAACAGTATCATATAGATAAAGGTAGGGAGCAGGTTGCCACTAAACACACTGAATTTGTATTCACTCTTTTCCCTTTCTCCTCCTATCGTCCTTGTTTACTTTATTTCTCTAGTGAGAGGAGTCACAAGTTAAAAGAGCATGGTGGGAGCTGCCAGCTGCAGCTGCTTGCCAGAAATGACCCTGACCTGAAATCTGGAGCACTCAAAAATCCAGTTGTTCCGGACAACCTTGCGGAAGAGGCTGAGGCTGATAGATGGCTGCACAAGAGTTAAGGACACACGAATAGGCTTTTCCACTCCACGGAGGTCCAAACACACCCTCTGGGAAGAGGGGAAGGGAAGTTCAGCTGGGAGGGTGATCAGGTACTTCCTGCAGTGGGGAAACAAGACATCACATTCTAGGAGTAGTATCGCTCTTTTTTAGGACAAATTCGCTGATGATGGGGAATGAGGAAGCAGAGGGGCTTACCATTTCTTTGTGGTCAAGCACAATTGCTCTGCTGGGGTAAGAGGAATAGATTAACAATGAGTGTGAACTAATCGTAGAGGCAGTGGAAGGAATATGATAAATTTGGGAGAATCTCTTGGGACAAACATGAGAAACACTTACAGTGGAGGCCTGTAGTGCATTTGGTTCTTGGGTGGTTCTACAGCCCATGCTGAGCTTCCTGCCCAAGTTAATGCCAGCTATGGACCTATGGTTTCAGCAGTGACTGAGATCAAGACATGTCATCACACAGACTATGCTGGGATGACACACTTTCTTCATGACAAATTACATTGTAGAAATAATTTCTCTGGGGGAAAGAAATTACCTCCTAGCTGAAGGAAAGGGTGAGAGGGGAATTGCATGAATACTTCTGACCTCTCACAAGTCAAGTTACACTTAGGCAGGTGCTTTCTGCATTATCCTTAGTTTGTTACCATTGTCTCGTCAAAGCTCTGGGAATGAAGAGGGTTTCTGGAAACCCATTTTCCTACAAGGCTAGCACTTAGGTCCCTCCTGTATTTTGATGGCAGACTCACTGAAGTGTAAGGCCTGATCAGCAGCCAATGAAAATCCTCAGAGACAGAACATGAAGAAAATGCTTATCCCTTCTACTCCCTCTGCCCCTTCTGTTCTGTGGGGACAGGAACCACTGTTCCAGTGTTCTAGGGCATTACTGCAGACCAGCACCCTGGAAAAGTCAGGAAAGGACATGCTTCTTCACACTGAGACCTGACTCAGCATTGGTGTCCCATGAAGAGGTCTCATTGACCCAAACATCAACCTTTGACAGAGGTCCTTGGCAGCAAACTGGTGCCTGCTTAATCACCCCCAGCCCTGCATCCCTTTTCATTTACCCTTGTCTTTATCCTACACCTTTCCCTTCAGCTTGCCTTAGACAGGAGACCCTCACTCTTCTTGTTCCCACTGTCAATCCTTACCCAGTTCTTGTACTGCAGAGATGTTCACGGGACAGGTTACCTCCTTCAGGATGTAAGCTGTAAGCCATCCCATGTCTGTCCCTTCTAGCAGGGTTGCATATCTCTTCCTGCCACCTGGCCCCTCCCTCAGCATCAGAACTATGAATCACCAGATCTTGAAATGTCACTTACGGTTGTGCCACTATCTCCATGGTATAAAGCAGGCAGCTCAGGAGAAAAGGAGTCCACATTTTCATGGGAGAACCCCTGGAAGGCTGATGTTTCCTAAAGGCAAATCAGGAGAGAAAAAGGCGGGGTGATTGCTTCTTCCAAGGTCACCAGGCTACCTGCTGTCGCGGCCCAGGGAACAAACAAGGAGAAGTCCAAAAGTTTACTTTCTTCTGCCTTGTTCCTGTGTTTATAGTGCTCAAGGCACAGGGCTGTACCATTAGCGATGTTCTGCAACCAATCCAAGCATTTTTGGACTCCAGTCTCTCTGCTCTCCTGAGCCCTCCTCCTCGCCATGGTTTAACTAGCATCATTCAGACAAATTAGCTTTTAATTTTGCTAAGCCTGTTTCCTGTTCAGTGTACTGACCCTTCTCCTTATCCCACTTGCAGCCTCCATCCCATTGTTTTGCTTTGAAATGGAGTGTCTCATGGTCTATTGCAGGTGAACTCAATTGCATCTCACAATGAAGTCTGGTGGTCACACTGTCACCTAGTTTTTGAGTCTGTAACTCCACAGGCAGATTTCATTCTTCAGTGATAGACTTATCTTTGTACAAAATAAGTATATATAGAGAGAAGGTGCCTCCCAAAATAGCCCAAAACTCATTTTTTGATTATTCTGGAAGACAGGTAAAGAAAGGCAAAATGCTCTTTATGCAAAAGGTTTTTATGCTTTTTATCTCCCTCATCCAGAAGGAGAACACAGAAAGCAGGAAGAGCTGTAATCCTAATCTTATCTCTTCTCTACATACATTTTCATTTGAATAGGAAATCTAACAACTACAATTAACTCCAGTCATATAAGACATACCTGTGTATTCTACTGTAGGGCCAAATTACTGAGGGGAAGTGGAGATTGACCACTGGTCAGGCAGGTCAACAACTGGAAGGCTTAAGTTCTGAGGTGTCTTCTTCATTTAGAAAGAGGGTATGGTTCTATCCCTAGATAACTGCAGGACACTCTATCTATCTAATTTGGGAGTTACTTTCCACACGATTTTTTAAACCTGTTACTCTTGAGATTGCACCGAGCATTTCCCTGATTTATGTTAGCATACTTGACAAGAAAATCTGTTCCTTGAAACTCTTCCTCAAGCAAGAAAACTCTTCCATTTTAGTATAACATCCATTTCATACCAAAATACATCTCTGATTTATCCTCGGGTACCAAACAGAGTCCTTAACTAATTGGATCCTCAGATTATTTTCTTTCTCTTTTGGAAAGACTGATGCCTGGTAAACAAATTGGCTTTCTGGGGGGCTTTTTTCATGTAGTGGGCAGACATAAGTTATATGCCTTTTCTTTTTTTTTTCCTGGGCTTTGTTCAGCTCTGAAATTCTGGTGTCAATGGCTTTTTCCCTAAAGGTGAAAGCACACCCCTGTGCTGCCTTTAATTTCTTTCCAGCGTTCTTAAAAAGTACAGGTAGTGCCTGCCGAACAGGCCTTGCTGACATTTGTTTGTCCGCAGTAGATCCAAAACAGTCCCATGGTACAGGCTGGATCATTTATAACAATACATGGGCTCACAATGGCAAAGGCATTTAGAATCCTGCCTCTTTCTCCATTGCAGTCATGAAATCATGATAGCCAGCTGCTCAAATATGAAAATATGAAAACTAGAATAGGACCAGAAAGTAAGTGCCTTTTGGCAGGCTTCTTCACTCACTAAAACCTGCAGAAAGGTACATTCTGCCTGGCCACTGTCTTGTGCTGCAATCTTTCCACAACCTGTGGAGCCACTGTCACTAGTTCAGAGAATAGGCAAGAAGTCTGCAGGTAATTGACACTGGATTTGTCTCTCTGCAGGCGCAGAGTCCTTGAGACTGAGGTAGAGGAGCTGACCTCAAGCTAAATGGAAGCGTACACATTACAGAGTCTGCAGGATGAATCACTTTTATCTCCAAGCTTTATGAGGGATAAAAATGCAAGTTTGGTGTTCAGCATCAGCTTACTCCTGCTTTAGCTGGGGAGGAGGATGTTTAGGCCAAAGAGAAATCAGAGAGTTTTTCACCAAATTGTTATTTCTGTCTATAAATTCTTCCCTCTGGAACACATCCACATCCCTCCAAATATTCTCTAGTAGCCAGACACCACAGGTACTACAGTTTAAGGCATAGAAAGGACATTTTGAAAGAACCAGAAGAGTTATTTTAAAAGTTGGCATATAAATTGCAATGGATACTAAGTCAAAATTGTCACTACATTCAATTTTTACACGCTGGGTGTACACATATATTAGTGGGGTTCTTTTCGTGTGAACTCTCACTGAAATAATGAACTTACTTAGGTATCAGCTAGCCCCTCTTGGGTTCAACAAGGAATAGGTGGAACGCATGTGTGCACATGACCACTGCAGCAATTGCTTTCTCAGTAAACATCTATTTCAGAACATAAGGAGTTTTATCAGATCTCTTGCCTTTGCTTTGCTAAATTCTGCAAAACAGACAATCGGAATGTTACGACATTGTCAATGCTAAGTGACATCATCCTCTCCATAAAAGCCCAAGGTTTACTAGTGATGCTCTCTAAGCATAAATATAAGTAGTAGGTGCACATCTGTTTGGCTGCATTCTGGTGGTTTTTTTGGATGTCAGCAAGGGCACAGACATGGATAGAGTCAATGTCTGGGAGAGAGAGGGCATTTGCAAAGAAAGCTGCAGAACTTGCAAAGCAGTTTTTAAAATGTTTCAGAGAAAATGTAATCTTCAGGAAAATCCTGTTCTGCTGTTGAACTCTCCATTGTTTATGGACTGCTGAGGAAACAAAAACACCTCGCTAAACGAAGGCACAGAAACACAGAGAAAGTGACACTTGGAGTCAAGTCAACCTCACTGCAGCTACTTATGACACAATACAGGGCACAAGTAACACCTAGATGCTGAGCTCAATCTATGCAGTCATTCTGGTCCTACTAACCTGCATTCGAAACATGGAGTTTCAGCAGGCTGCCTTGTGAGCAGATCTCCTCAGTGTGTATGGAGATTGTTCACTCTTAACAAAAATAACTTGCAATGCTTCTAGTTTTAACAACAACAAAAACTTGCAATGCTTCTAGCTTTACCTCACAGTGCAGAGTTGCCGAGACTTTGGGATTACTCTGGAACCTTGTACTTGAAATTCAATTCCACCGTCCAAATTCCCTATGCCAAAACCTCTACAGATCCCAGCCACACCTTGAAGCCTTACCCAAAGAACTTTCAGGACTGTAGCCAAATCCAGACCTCTCACTCTCGCCCCCCATCTTTCCTCCATCCCAGACTTTCTACCCCTAAGTTTTCACACACAGCTTTCACACTCTCACAGTCAGCTATTGCAAGGTTTTGTGGAGGCTTGTCTATTCCCCAACCTGCTAGTCTTAAAAGATCCTAGATAAAAAGCTGGAGTCCCTCAAATCATGAGGTTTCATTTTTAAAAGCAGTGAAAGATGCTAAATTTTCACCTATTTTTGAATTGTCTTGTCCATAGCCACAATATCTTTCAAAGAACCTGTCCACTCTGTAACAGCTCACTATGGGATGTGGGGTCTGCCCTTGTACACCATCCTTGACTGACAGCTTCTGTTTCCTTCTCTTTCCCACATCAAAAAAAGAGTTCTCATAACTCCTCTTGGGTCTTTCTACCTCCTCTCTCTCAAGGTACTGCATGAAACAGACTAGGAATAGGAGTTAATACAAGATGTGGTGAAGCACAAAGCTGACTGCTTTTTTTATGTGGTTGGAGAGCAGGATAAGGAGTAGACCTTCTCATTGTTCCCAGAAAATGTTGTTTTTCCCACCAGATTGTGACATCTCTAATCCTCAAGCAATTGCTCTGGTTCAAACACAGGGCACAAAACAAAAGGTGGATACAGCTGGCTGAAAAATCCAAAAGCTAATGAATGAAATTTCTTCTATAAGTGTAGTGTATGTCACAGTATTTTTCCTAATTCATTCACACATACATTATTCACACACTTCCACATCTATGCACTTACCTCTATTTGATTTCTCTACTTCACTATGTATTTGACATAGGAATTCTTACCATAGCTGGAATTCTTTGTAACTCTTAAATTCAAATATCCCATATGATTATTTGAAAGCACAGCTGGGTTCAGCTGAACTACGAATCTCCCATTTCAACTCAAGTCTTCTGAGCTTTGCTTCATACCACTGTGTTTCACTCAAAGGGCATCACTTGCATGAACCCTGAACTGACAAGGGACAGGATGGAGCAGACAAGTCAAACATGAATGATTTATTCTCTTCCCTTGAGAAATGGCCCTGAGATTAGTAGTAATTCAGAAGACTCTCAGACATACTGTAGCTTTCTCCTAGGTCCCTTACCAGCTCAGCTTAGCTTATTCTAAGTAAGGGGCAGTCCCAGCTGCCACCTCAAATCATCTGAGGTATTTCAGCAGCACACAGATGCTTCAAAAGGGGTGACTTTTTCAGCCACTCAGCACCCAAGAGCAGGATCAGGGAACTTTTTCAGCCACTCAGCACCCAAGAGCAGGATCAGGGAGAGCAGAAATAAAGTTCCCGGGGAGAGGTGAAGCAATTTCCGTTTTCCCAGGAGTGGGGTGGGGTTTCTCTATGTAGCTGGCATTACTATGTGCAGGTGTTAGTGCAAGGTGGACAGAAGGTATCCTCTGAAGGCATAGGAGATAAGATCAAAGAGAAAAGGGCAACCCCACTTTGGCTTTTATCTCTACCCAGACAACTTCTGGAAAGATGCAGCTTCACAGAAGCTGCAGAAATTGGAATCACTCCCCTTACACTCTCCACACTCTGTGTTAAGACAGAAGCTAAACTTTGAAACATATGGCAGGGTGGATTCATCCTTACTGTAATGCAAGCTACAAAGTCAGCCAATACTTATTGCTTAGCTATATCTCTGCTAGATGGTGACAGATATTTCTCAGTAGAATCAGCCTGCAAGCAGGACTATGGTCCACATCCTATGCCGGTGACTGCACAATGCAGCTGGAGGACTGCACAATTCAGGGCTGTGAGAAGTGAATGCCAGGTGCATAGTTCAGTTTTACTGTCTGTATATGAGTTCACTTCTGCACTCTCCTCCAAGGTAGTCCCTCTCATATGAGGCCCAAGCGCAAAACACATAACAGGATCCAGACTCATGATTCATATTTTATTTCCATTCTTTTTACATGCAGGAAAATCCCCAGATTAAAACAATCAGAATAAATCAGACACCCCAAAAATCACAAAGAAATGTCTGTCAGGATGAGGAACAAGACTTGGGCTGGATTTAATCCTGAAATCCAACTTGAGATGTGCCCCAGCACCAATATCCTAAGACCACTGAGGCATGACTTTCCAGGAGACATGTTCCACCATCCCAGAAGCAACAACACAGCAGCCTTGGAGCCTGCTGCTGATCTGGGGGCATCTCCCACTACTGGGATTCCTGTGGGCTGAAACAGTGGACAGTAAGTGAGCAGACCAGATGTTTGGAGGAATGAGGGCAGAGAGAGGGAGAATCACAAAGAGAAAACAATATGACCCAAATGATTAACCGCAATGTGAACACCTTGGGAGTCCAGGCCATCGCTAAGGGCTCTCAAGAAAGTGTTTCAGTGGTTTGGTCAAGTGTCTTTGCTATACCACAGCCTATCCCCCCAAAAGAGGTGAAACTCTCCATAGCCAAATTGCATAAGCTGAAACTAGGAGCATGAATTCTGCTTGGGAGTTCTTCTAGATCAGTGTCAACTGCCTATAAGCAGTGTCACTCCATTGGCAGCCATGCACTATACCAGTCTCCCTGTGGAGAGTCCCCAAAAGAGCACATGACTTCTCACAGCAAGGACACATGGCAATCACTTCATGTCTGGCCTACAGGGCAATCCAGCAAAAACGGCACTAGGAAGTCCAGAAAACAGAGGGCATAGAGCACAGCTACTGGAGGCCTAAGGAATTCCAATGCAGTCCTAAATGAAAGGAACATGCTGAATCAGAGATACACAGTAACAACCCCAGGGGCAGCAAGAGATGGTTGAGTTTTGCAGGAAATTTCGTAAGACTGCTAGATCTGTACAGTGATTAAGAAAGGGAACAGCAAAAATTTTGGTGGGACTCACACCTACCTCAGCGGCAGAAAACATTATAATCAGCCAGGGCCTGCTCCTCTGTAACACGACAAGAGAGACCCAAGTTACCGTTGCATGACCCCAAGCACAAGTTCCAGCTAACCCTAATGCCCCATGGTTCCACACTCACCTGGATGGTAGTAGTCATAAACTCTGACATGTCCTGGCTTCAGGTTGGTCACTCCAATTTCCTGTTCTAGATGCAGGACATATGTCTCAGACTTATGGCCCAACTGGAGGAGAAGGGCAAATGACAGTTCACTTACTTAAGAGCTGTGTCCAGTATTCCTCAACTACATTTGATCCTAAACAGGCAGTAACAACTTTATGGAATCAAAGATAGGATGTCAAGATAATCTTGAACACCCTATAATACCCTCTGCTATCCCAGCCTTGGATTCTCCTCATAGCTCTGCTAATGTCCTCCACTCCCATCCTGCAGCTTCTCTAGCGGCACACACATACCTTGTCCAAGTAGATGGCAACACCTGCTTGTGTTTCCTCAGTTCTTCTCACAAGGTGCCAGTGTTGCAACTGGGACAGGAGAGCAAAGGAAAGAACTAACTTGGATCTTTTGAACAGGCAAGTTTGAGACATCCCAGCAAGGTTTATCTAAGTCTGAATGGGCAAATTCTCATCCATTCATTTCCAGACTTATGTTGGCTCTCAACTCTTCCAGGCTGAGCTTCTTGCAGGGCCACTCACCTGCAAGACCCCAACATAGGAGCACAGGAACATAGGATAGCTGTAAAGAATTTCCCGAGCCAGTTGAGCAAGAAGGATCACCACCCTTGAGGCGCAAGGAAGGAGTTGACAAAAAATATTCATATTTAGTTCTAGTGGCAGAGGGCAAGAAATGGTGAGATTGCTCAAAAGAGCCAGACAATCCTGGCTACATAACCTCCCTCTCCCTTGGGGCATGAATGATCCCACTGACACCACATGATTATACTGATTCCAGGCTTCTTACAGACGTCCTGGATTCTGGAGCCACGATGAATCCAGACAGCAGAGAGACCTCCACAATCACCATATTGGAAGTGGGTCTCTTCCCAGTGTAGCTGGGGAAAAAAAATCAAATAATCAGAGGGTCCCTCCCAGCTCCTCCTTCCCTCCACCCCCATATCACATATGCAGGACCTTTCATCAGGCAGCCAAGTTAAGACCAGGACAAAGCAGCCACACCCTAAGATGGCTGCACTTCTCTGCACACTCCCAATCTGAGGTGATCTAGTTCTACTCCTCGCCCTAGCAAGAATAAAACCACTTAGAAACTCTTTCCCAAAGATGCCTATATCTTTCCTTCCCACCTCTTCTGTTTGCCAAATTCACCCTCTGAACCTTCTGCCCGAAATGTCAGGTGCCTCCATTGCATCCAAGAAGCACCCCTGCAGTTCTCCAGCCATGCCTGGCCTTCCTTCTCAACTGGGGCTGTGTCTTTGTAGTCACCTGACATCAACATAGACAGTAACAGAGTATATATTATCCTTGGTGCAATTGACTGGCTTGGTTTTCACTCGCAAGGCAAAGGATGTGGAGGCCTGTGGGGAGAGCGTGTTGTACCTCAGTACCATCTGCAGAGAGAGATTAAAAAAAAAGGGAGAATAAGACCTGGATAACTGGTTCAATATCACCTATCATACCTCTTCACTTACTACTCTAATCCTTAAACTATGGACCACAGATAAGTTACTAGAAAAACCATACACAAAGAACAGGACTTACACTCCTTCCAACACCACAAATAAAGACCCCTCAAAATGCAAACCTTCCATGATCCTTCCAGATGGGGTTCCTTTTCCTCTCTGTTATGCTTGAAACTAGTCAGGCACAAAGCACTCGAACTGCTATGGAGGATTTCCATTCATTGATTGGAATGACTCTGGGAACCATGGAATATCACATTTGTATTCATTAGATCTCAGTCTCCCATGCCACAAAGACTTATTACAGAGTACAAAGGCTCGAACTGAAGCCTATTAATGTACATTTCCTTGCATGCAATTGCAAGAGAGACTCTGATAAGATAATGAGCAATAGGTTGACATAGCACTGTCTGCTATGTAAAGGGGAAACCTACCCGGGTAAAGACGCAACAGCTGCCATGGACCTGCACAGAGAACTTTCCTGGAATTTCTGTCAGTGCCATCTCCTGCACCAAAAGCCGATTCTGATTGGAGATTTGGAACTTCATCCCAAAGCCTCGTTGGGATTTCACACTCACTTCTGCAACCCCTTTTGTGCTGTATGTCAGTGCTGCATACTTGGCCAAGGCCTGCAGAGCAACTACTGTGTCCTGAAGAAGAAGAAAAAATTCCATGTTTACACATTTGTCCTTTTAGGGATCTCCAGTTGTGAGACCCAAGACACTTAAACTAAGCCTCCTGAGGGTCTCTGTGCTCAAGGACCTTTTCCTCCAAGCATTCATACTGTTAACGATCACATTTGCACAGATATTGCAGAGATCCTTTCTCAAGGCATACTGCCTTCCCCAAGCCTGTGTTACCTGTGTTGAGGCAAACCCTCCATAAGCATTCTGCTGCCTGTTAAGCCAGGCAACAATGCCAGATGCTCTAAGGAGATCAGTCTGTGTGACATTTGGCTTGGAGAGCAGAGCCAAGAGGACATAGGCTGTCAATTCTACATCTACAGAAAGTGGCTGTAACCAAGGGCTGGTGCTGGATGTATTTGATGGGGTCTCACTCCAGTGGATCTGCCCATCTGAAAAAAAGAAGAGCGTGGATAGCATTGAGGGCTGTCAAGAATGAAATCCTAAGGCCTAGAAGGCACATTGGCTAGGGTGCACAAAAAACAGAGTAAATATCCCTTGGGTATATACATCACCAGGTGAACCTCAATTTCTTGTATGCAACATCTGTTCTCCAATGCCCAACACTCTAAATTATATATTCAAGACCCATTTTTCAAAGTGATGTCCAAAAATTAATATGCCAATAATCTGCATACACAGAAACTCCCAGACATCTTGTCCCTCCACTATCATGCTTGCCAGGCCTGCTAGCTACCTGATAATAACTAGCTACACACTAGCAAGTCCTGAGGGTCAGGCACTACAAGAGGTGGGGTAGCTTGCCTGCTGGTCTGGCACTTTGAAATTCTGCATAAGAAACCCCACTTTTCTCAGGGTCTAACCTTCACTTCAGGAACCCACAAGAGCCTAGAGATTTCAAATAAATCAGTGCCCACACCATAATACTGTCAGCATGTAGCTTAAGTTTACAGACTAGTTTTCTGAAACACCAGACAGAAATTAAGACCAAGGTTATGGTCCTTTCAGCTTGTGTGTGACCAAGGCTCATAAAGGCTAACTGTCCCTTCTCTGATGTTCACCTGGGACTGAGGCTCCATACCTTCTCTGATTGCTTTTCGATCAAGTATATCGAGTAGTTCTTGCATGTGACGAGTGTCCTTAGCCAGGGCGAAGGTATAGGCCAGCAAGGCCTGTGTGTAAGTGCTGGTAATTTTAGGAAGAGAAGGAGTAATACAGCCCAGAGCTTTTTGCACCACTTTGCTCTACAGAGAAGACATACATTGACATTGGTCATGCAGATACATATACATGTACGTGGCAGGCAAACTCAAGATATACAAGCAAAAGGATGCATTACATATGTTGACATAGAAAGCATCTTTAAAATTCAATTCTGTGTCTCAGTAGGGTCAAGCCTGCACTGTTCCCTTAATTTCACCATTGCACCACTAAGCAACGTATCTCCAGCTCTATGCTGAAAGTGTTTGACAGAGATCTCTTGGCTACCTCTTCTTATTTGGTCACAGGCTTCAGCAGTGCTGTCAGTGAATGAATCCTCTTACTGCTGCAGCATCAACCCACATCTTATTTTCCAGGTTACAATATAATAAAAGCAAAAATAAACAATTCCAAATGCTTATACCTACCCTGGTAACGAAGACCATTGTGTTCAACTTATTTCTACAGTGCCTTACAAGGTCACTTGGATTTTCCAATTTCATTGGAACATCAATACACTATTATCAGGGAGGAGTAAATGCACTGGTCTCAGCAGTACTGTGTTCCAGCATTTAGCTACACCCTTCCAAGCATGAGCCAAAGGCTCAGTGGGGTTTCCTGACCCATATTTGTGCATGTCCATGATTTTGTGGTCCCCCTCTTCCAGTGGCCTCTTTTCAAGTACAGTGAGGATCAAACAGGTGTTGCATTTAAAATTTATTCTTACACATGACCTGCTACTTATATCTTTCCCTTCTAGAAGGGAGAAAAGGTAATGTCTTTGTCACTTGGGTGCTTTCTAGAAAATGGCGTAGTACTGCTGGGTGCAGCCACTGATTCACAGATACGCTTATTATACCTACACATTAAGTAATAAAGTTCCTATAATCAAACTGTCATTTTTTTAAATTTGTTCTCTTCTGGTAAAATAAAGTGGGATAGCTAAGCTACACTTCCAACCATAAAAATAAATAAATAAATAAATAAATATCCTTGTTTTCTGCTGTTATATGCAATACAGCACACAGCACAGCAATGTTTGTATTTTGTAAATGACTAGAGCTAAGAATGGATTAGAGCAAGCCTGTGGCTTTTGTTCAGCATCTCCCTTATTATTCTTTTTTTTTCTTAAATCACTTAAATCACAGAAGGCTAAAATGGAGGTAACAGCACTGGTCTTCATACAACTATGAAAATTCTAGCAAAAACTGTTGAAGTATCAACTATGATTTGCCAACTATTAACATACATCGTAATATGTTGTCTAGGAAGAGTTTAATATGTATTATTAGCCTTCTGGCTCTGGTATCTCCTGGTGAAATTAATATAAGGACTGACAGTGGCACTCTAGTGGAATTCTTTTCATATTTACTGTACTCATCATGGTGTGGCATGTCATGGTGTTCACAATTGTGTGCTGTACAGAAGCATGTAGCTACCCTGTAAGCAGTCATGTGCCACATACAGAGCTGCTTCTCTATAGCATGCAATTTTTTCCCAGCCAATATAAACAATTCGGGTTGTTGCAAGGAGTAGAGTCATCTTTGAGACTACCTTAACTTTTGTCATACAAAGCCTGCCTGAATATAAATTTATTCAGGATTGTATAAAACTTCCCCAACATTTCAATGCCTAAATGACTTTCATGAATCTTTTAAATATGTTTGTAGGGAACAACATGTTCTGTTCTGAACCACACTGAGTACATTAACTTTTGGAGGACATCCTCAAACTCTGAGGATTTTGACCACCACAGATTGTGTCTTCTTATAAAATCATTTATAATTCTACTAATGAAACTTACTGGGTGCTATAATAGGCTTTATCTTTCCCACTTCATCTATCACAGATCTACTCAGCAAATTCCTTTACTGGGGCCAAGATGAGCACTATAAGATATGTTTTAAATTGCTTGGCTGTCATTACTTACGACTACTTTTTCATGGTCATGAATGTTTTATCTAAAAACAATGGTCTTTGAATGTGTGTTCAACTGAATAACTGGTTACTTTCAGACCAAAAATTTCTTTTAAATTTCTGCAGTAAAAACATGTTCCTCTTTCTGAGATAAAAATTATTTTGTGAACTTCTCTGCAGCATGAGAAATTCTCTGAGGTCTCCTACTTTAAGATAATTCAGGTTTTCGAGCATTACAAAGATCAGAACACTGCTCAGCCTCTGTGGATTCACTCTGCACACTGCACTTCATCATGCAAACTGCTGTGAGGTTTTGAGGTCTCCTTTTGGGGATATTTCTCATGGATCTGGAGCACAATTTGTTTTCTTCTCACTCCCCACTTTCCTTCTCAAATTACAAAACTGGCTTTAAATATTTATTACAAACTCTTCTTTCATTTTGATTTTGCACTAGGATGAAAGTCCTTGTCCTTCATTCTGCTGTGGAGCACAATAAATGCCAAATATTTGTGATTCAGTTTCATAAAAGCCTTTTCCTTTCATGTCAACTGAAACACAGACATTTCACAGAATCACCAAATCAAATAATTCAAGTTTGGAAGGACCTCAGGAAGTCTCTAATCCAACCCCTTGCTCTGAGCAGAGACAGTTCTGAGATCAGGCTAGGTTGTTCAGCTATATATTCTGTTGAGTCTCAAAAACCTCCAAGAATGGAGATTGCTAAACATGTCTAGGCAATCCATTCCAATACTTGATTGTCCTCATGGTAAAAAGAACAGGTGATCTAAAGGATGTCTGTTGCAAAGAAGAAGATTAATTTCAAGCTGTGTCCCTTTCTTCTGTGCCCAAATCTTGCAACTATAATGAAAAGTACTGCTCTTCCACTTGTTATATTTTAAGAAAATTTTGCTTCTCAATTTCTTAAGCATTTTAGTTGATTATATTTTTTAATTGCCAGTATTACAGAGTCTAGTAATTAATTATGATCCTCAGCACTTGTAAGGGGGTCTCCGTCATTATTATTTGGGTATGCAATTCTGATTTCTCTTAGTTCATAATATGTACCTCTCCATAGCACTTCTTTTACAGACTTCCAGTGTCTGCTAAGTAAAACACATTAAAATATTATTATGGCTGTTTATTTGACTGCCAAAGGAGCAACTCCCACCCCTGCTCCCGAAGAAATCATTACTATCTGTGTATAGTGCTGTGTATAGAGCATCGGGAAGCAAGGAACAGGTGAAAAAACAAGAATTAGCAAGGTCTGGAACATAGGCACGCTGTCTAGCCATGAACTCCTACAGCTCTTAGTAACATAACTCTACCTTCCCTCCCTCGTCAACAATACCCTCCCCAGGGCATAGTCAAGGTCTTTTTGTGAGAAATTACAAGTCCTTCCTTCCCCACCCCATTACTTTGTCCATGAACCTCTCCAGGATGCTCTCACGCAGGCCTCAGTATTCCCCTGAGGCCTTCAGGATTCAGATCTGAAGGCAAGAGCATGGGAAAGAATCCTGGTGTTTACCTTTGGTGTCTCTCCTCTCTCTAAGTATGCAGCAGTGATGTAGGCAGCCAAGGGGACTTCTCCATCCACACCTCCCTACATAAATATAAACATGTGCAAACATCCAAAAAGCTGGCAAGGGACATACAGAGGCCTGAAGCTTTTCAGAAAAGGTCTCGCCTTTTCCTGTCTTATTCACATGCAAAAGATCAAAACAATACACAAAACTAAACTAAAAAAAAAAAAAAAAAAAAAAGAGTCCACATGGTACACTTAAGAAAAACTGCTTTAAATGGGTCCTTGAAGGTGCTGTGGTTCCTACCTTAATGACTGCATGGAAAAGGTGGCCTACATTTCTGAAGCAACCATTGGGAAGCTGATGGAACTCCAGCCACTTGAGAGCAGCTTGAATGCCCCTGTTGTCCAGGAAGATGTATGGTTTGGCTTGGGCAAAGCATTTGACCACAAATGCAGTTAGCCTGGTTGGGGAGAGAACAGAAAAGACAAGGCATGTGAGTGGGAACAAAAGCAGATGAAATAGAATAAATGAGAAGGAGAGGGGAGAATAAGCAGGGAGGAAAAAGAATCTAGAGAGAAACTGAGAAAGAGGAAGAAAACTGCAAGTCTGAAACATTTCGGGTTAGATATGACAGAAAGAATTCAGTGCAGAAAGCTGCCCACCCTCCAGACCATCAGACTGTCAGATACTAGGGGAAAAGAACCCAGGGCTTACCAAGTATTACCATATTCATCCCTGGTACCAAATTCACTATAGGAACCATCAGGGTGTTGATACTGCAGCTGTATCTGGTACCCTAGGAAGTACAGCAGGACTTTAGTACTCAGACCTCAGAATGATATTTGCAATTAGATCATCGGGCAGGTGATTGGGGATGTTAACATATTAAGTGGTAGAGAACCCTTGGGAGATTATGCGCCAGGGGATTATTTGTAGGGTGAACACAGAGGTAGAAAAGGAAGACGGGCCTGAAATCCTTGCCATTGCTCAGGAATCTTGTAGCCCTCTCTTTGATCTCTGGGGTCAGCTGTCTCGTCTTCTCCAGGTACTGCAGCACATAGACAATAGGGGCAAACAGCACCATGTTCTGCTCTCCACAGCCATGGGGTATCTGCACCAGGTGGTCCAGGTTCTGCAGAGCTGTCCCCATCAGATCACCTGAAACAGAGGTTAGGATTTGCTGGGCCAGGCAATTGGCTATTCACCTCTGGCAATCTGTGACCAGTCTCTAGTAGCACATCGGGCAACTCAGCCCCAGAAGAGCAGAGCACATGCAGCTCTGTCCAGTCCTTTTTGCCCTGCATCTTGGATGCAGACATTCGCATTCCAGCAGGGAAAGCCATTAAAAAGAATGACTTCTCCCCTGTTACATGTTTTAGCCCATATGGAACCAGGAAACACAGTTACATAAATGGGAGACAAAAGGCAGTGGAGCCTCAGAAATTGTTGGAAAGGTTTAGGTGGTTTGGGCTTAGTCTTTCCTAGATACATGGGATGTGGAAAGGTATTATCAAAACTGAATTCCTTACCAGTGACTGACATGGTGGCTCTGACGGAACCTTCAATGACATTTAGAGGCAACATCAGAGACACAGACTCTTGTGCTGGATTCCCTGGTATCAGGAGCAAGGTGTGTTAGGAGAACAGAAAGAAAGAAATTTTGACAAAAAAGAACATTCAAAATCCCCAGAATATCTCTGTTCATGACTGTTCTGTGCTAATATCCCATTTTCCTGTCACAGAGTTTCCAGATCACCCCACAAATTCTGTCCCATCTCACCCTCAGCTTCCTCTGTCCACCTCATCATGACTGCTCTGACCTGGCAGCCTTCCTTCTCAAAAAGAAGAGAAGCAAGTTTTTTTGCCTAGAAAAACTCTATGGCAAAAGCCACCTTCCTGCTTTTCTTTAAATAAGCTACCGCATTTCATTTCAGATTTCAGTTGCAGTGCTATGTCTTCTCCATGTTCCTAGTGCTCTCAAAATCTTCTACTTGTTCCATCGTATACCATAAACTTCAAGACAGCAGCAGAAATCCAAAGTCACATCCTTCAGCCTGGCCAAGTTCAGTAGTCCGGGTTCATTTCCACTGGTTACATTGGACACATTTGTATCAGGGATGTTTATGCTTAAGGACTGTATCCCCCTGTTCTAATCAGAAGAAGCTACTGGTGGCTTCATAACTAAAGTATGCCTTTGACAAGCTTAAACAGTTTGACAGAGGAAAATATTCCCCAAAGTGGAAAGACCCAGAAGGTAGCTAGCCAGGAAGAAAAGGGATGAGCACACTGAAAGGGGAAAATGATGTACCTTTTTTGGGACACAGGATGGAGCTGTGCACCTTCTCTATCAACACTCCCTCTGGCTGTTGGAGCATATAAAAGTAATATTAATGAACAGACAGGCAAGAAGCAGAATTACATGTGGAGTAGAAGTAGGTATGGACAAAGCCCAGGTTCAGGCTCAATCACCATATTGAGTAATATCGCTGTCACATACAAAATTAAAATTATTTTTAATTTTTCATTTTTAATTATTTTATTTTATCACGTATTATTTTAATTATTTAATTATTTCAATTCCAGATTAAAAAATGACATGTATTTTCAGAATAACCTGAATTCTGAATGTATGTGAAACAGATGCTTTAAATTCAGTGGAGAGGTAAGGAGGCTCAGCTAAAGACAGAGGACATGGAAGAGGGTATGTGCTTAAAATTTTCTATTTAGAAGCCTGACCACAAGCGGAAGAACGGAGTGGAGAATAATTCCACACCTCCCACATCCATCAGCCTTCATGGCTGAGCCCAACTCAGGGCTTGAGTCTTTAATTACATGCCTTGAATAGCAAGGGGCACCTCCCAAAATTGACCAGTACAAAATCTGGGGATTGTACAAGCCCACTTGTAGATCTAGGTAATAGAAGAGTTTGTCTGACCCGAACCACAAGTAGTTTGGTGATTGTATCTTTCTGTCCTTGGGCTGGGACAACCGGTATCTCTTTGCCACAGAGCTCTTCGGTGGCCACAGCCTCTGTGCTCAGGGTGAAGTTCATTAGTCCTGAAAATAAAGAAACATTTAGTGCAGCAAGTATCTTGTAAGAAAGAACTTTCAGCTAGTACATGTTAAGTCATCTGTTAGCCATGAAAAATTGGATCAGAGCCCTGTATGGTGGGAGGTTCTATATCTCCCACCACAGAGTTACGGATATTTAAGTTTTTAAGATGAATACAAACCTTCAAGTTAACAAGACACACACCCTACTTCCTTTACTTCATGTCAGCTCTTACAAAGCATCTCCACCTTGGCCTCATCCGTTCCCAACTCTACCACCCCAGTTCCCTGTTATCCTCACCCAGTTGCTTAGCTGTGACACTCCAATGAAATGTCTTAGCTTCATTGGCACACAAGCAGCTGCTGTAGACAGTGTAGACACAGTCTTTGCATGGCTTTAGCTGAAAGCCCGTCGACTTCTCTAGGGTCACCTGGATCTGAAGGGGCAGCAGGGATGAGAGATAGTGATGAAACACATATCAGTTTTCCAAAAATAGGCCATGGACCTTAGCCATTCCCTACCCACCTATACCCTGCTTTCCTTGCAGAACCTCTGATAGGGCTCACCTTCATGCATTGCTGCAAGTAGTTGAAGACTACAGCCTTCAACATGAAGGTCTCCCACTGGATCACAGAAGATGGCAGTGTGAGATCCACAAGAAAGGGCTTGAAAACAAGCAGGCTGGAGGTTGGTGCAAGTCCAAAGCCATGATGTCCTGTGCAGAACATCCCTGCCTTCCATTCTGTGACAGTGTCAGGAACAGTTACAGTGATATTCTTGTTCCCACTGGGACTGAGAAGTGGATAGTAAGAGAAACTTTTAACAGAATCTCATTTTATGCAGCAACAGGTGACCTGATCTGCACTCTCCTCCCCAGTACATCCAGTTTGCTAGCCTAACTCAGAACTTTACTGAAATTATAGCCCTCAAGGTACAGAAAAAAAAACCCAGGGACACATCATTCAACTGAATTAGACCAATGCACACCATCCTATGAGCAGCTGAGGACAGAATATTCACAGCATCTATTTTAGATGTCCAATTTAGGCAGCTCATTTCCACCTCTGCCTCAGCTGCTTACAGCAACAGAACAACAATTTGACAGGGGATTACAGGCCTGGAAGAAGCTCTCAGTCACTGTCATTATTTTCCACAGAGAGTACTTTCCCTTTGTACATCTAAAATGCTTTACAGCTGTTACATCTTCAGTTGCTCAGATCAGGCTAGTGGACAAATTGCGTAGGAGATATCTTCTGGTAGCCAGTGAGTGGAAAGATAGATGTAGCTGGAATTACAGGGGAGGCGAGAAGGGCAGGGTTAGAGTGGGGAAGGGGGCGTATCTCAACTGTGCAGCTGTCAAACAACAAATTCTTAAAGTTAGAAGTGACAAATCTACAAAAATCCCTCCCCTGAAGCTCAGTGGAAAATGGCCTCCCACAGCAGCCCTTTGCTCCCTCTCATCTGTGATTTACTACACACTCTTACAATAAATTTTGAAAACACCTGCTTCCTGCTCACATGGGGAATCCTGGAGGTATAGGGAGCAGCAAGAAGGAAGGGCAGCAGAAATGCCAGATAGAAACTCCCTCTCTGGGACAAAAAGCATGCACAAGCCATCTAGAATTTACCCCATGTTGCCCTGTCAGCACTACCCTCCAAACCCAAGCACTTTCTCTCTCTCAGTGGTGCTGGTCTTCTCCCTGAGGGAACCCTGCCCACTCCCTGAGGTGTCAGCCTTTCTCTCAGGATAGAATTTGCAGTCCTGTTACAGAGTGCCATATGAATCAGCTTCTCTTACATCCCAGAATACATCCCATGTGCCCAGTTTGAGAACTGCTAGCCCATCGGACTACTATAATTTGACTACAGACAGTAAAATAAATCTTTTCACTACACCACACCTACTTTCCTATAAACACATGCAGCCTGCTTCCATGAATGGATACTACTTCTGTATCATCATTGAGGAAAGAAATCTGCACTGGATACAGATATCAACACTAATGAGAAACAGCCTAATAATCATAGAATCATAGAATGCTTAAGGTTGGAAGGGACCTCTAGAGGTCATCTAGTCCAACAATCCTGCACACACAGGGTCACCTAGGGCACGTGGCACAGGACTGCATCCAAGCGGGTTTTAAAGGTCTCCAGAGTCTCCAGAGAAGGAGACTCCACAGCCTCTCTTGGCAACCTGTTCCAGTGTTCCATCACCCTCACTGTTAAGAAATTTTTCCTTCAGTTCCCGTGGAACTTTTGATGCTTCAGTTTCTGGCCGTTTCCTCTAGTTCTATCAGTGGCCACCACTCAAAAGAGGCCAGCACCATCCTCCTCACTGTCTCCCTTGAGGTACTTATAGACACTGATCAGGTCTCCTTTCAGCCTTCTCTTCTCCAGGCTGAGCCTGTTCTTTCAGTCTTTCCTCATAGGGCAGATGTTCCAGGCCCCTGATCATCCTTGTAGCCCTGCGCTGGACTCTCTCCAGCAGCTCCACATCCCTCTCGCACTGTGGAGCCCAGAACTGGACACAACACTCCAGAGTATATAATAGGCTCCATAATAACAGACTCCATTAGATGTGTCCTTAGGTGTCTTTCTCAGAAGCTTATAGTCTAAACCTGCTGCATCTGCTACCAACTCAGGTCATGTTAACCTACTCAGACTAGGCCCCTTCGCTTAATTTACTTACCCCACAGAATACAAATCCCATATCCAGGTTTCTGGGAAATACTTGTGAATTTTCTCTTCAGCTAGAGAAACAGGCAAATACTTAGCGGGCTGATAGGCAGTTGTTGTCAGATGTCCTGCCGGAAATAACAAAGACTCAGTTAGCACAGGATCCTTGAGTCCTAGTTTAGAGCAGATGAGTCGCAGCACAGCTCAGGATGCTCAGGCTTCAGGTCATCCAGTCAGCTTATAAGAAGCACTGTACTGAGACCTAAGGTGCCAGCCTGAAGTTTAAAATCACTTGCCTCATTTGACAGGACTCAGGTGCTTTGGAACTTGTGTTTGTAGGCACGCCAGGAAGGGCAAGTGGTTCTCTCAAAAATGAGATTTGGACTCTAGGCAACCCTCTAACATTTCAGAGCTGAAAACCATTAGTTCCAGACAGCCTCACTGTCTAATACAAAAGGCTTAGAGACACAAAATATTTTCCCTCTGCCATTTGCAAATACAGCAACTACTGCTTGTTGTCTGAAATGCAAGAAATCTTTCTACTGAAAGACAGAACATCCCATACATAAGAAAGAACAATTGGTAAGTACTTACTCTTATATGCTTTATAGGGCTGGGCAAACATCAACGTGGGCCCTGTTCCCTTCAGCATTGTTGTTGATTGAGTAGTTAGACACACTCTTGGTTTCTTGATATTGGTGTTGGACAGAATTTTCAACCCCATTTCCTATAGGGAAAAAAAATTAAGGAATTGATGCACCAGAATCTTGTCTTCCCTTCTCTGCCCTCTACCTTATGGTTTCCTGTTCCCTTGCGCAGTGAGGACTTAGCTGTACTTCTGGCTTGATAAATTATTCTTTTGCTTCAGTTTAAGAAGGAAACATTCAGTTGTAAGACATTCTGAGTTTATTTATCTGTCCTGAGTCAAGCAAATTTTTCTTTTTCAAACATAAGTCATCTAGGTACTAGGTCTTATCTGCCTGCACAGTAAAATTCCTACTACATAATTAATCCTGGGCAAGCCAAATCCCTCAGTGAAACTGAATTAAATAATAAATGACATTGTCTATCATCAATATGCAGTAGCCATGCAACAAGTTTCTTCTTGGTCAACAATTTCAAGTAACTTATTCAAGGAACAAGTGAGTTATAAGTATCTAAAATTGACTTGTTCCCTATAATATGTGTAATGCCATCCCTAGGATATTGGTAAAGCTAGGGGATCACACATCTCTCAATTCATGGGTAACCCAATCAATCAACCATTATTACCTTGAATGCTGTAAACACATCAGGCTGACCAGAATCTGAAGACCCACACAAATCATCATCTTCAGACACTTGGTGAGGATACCCAGAGTTAAAAACAGATGGGAACAGTCCATAGATCTGTGAAAACACAAAACAGCAAACTACCAGTCAGTGCAAATAAAACCTGGTATTCAATTCCTCTAGCACATCCAAATCTGAATTGTTGCCATATATGAAAGCATGTCAGAAAGCAGACTCTCAGTCACTCTTCTCTGGTTCTCCTTTGAGAGAGCCAGTATGACCTGCTGAACTACTAAACATCAGATCAGACAACAGAACCTGAGTATGGATTTGCCACTGATGCACTGAGTGACCTTGAGTTTCTTTCCTGATGCCTGTCCTGTAATTCTCAATCATGCCACAGTGAGAGCAATACTGATCCCTCTAAGCAGTGCTTTGAATTCTCTGGGAAATAAGTTCTGCACAGATGCAATAGCCTATCTCTCTCTCTCTCTCTCCATCTTCATGTCAATATCAGGGAAGTAGAAGAAGTCAGAGAAGTCACTCACCATGGAGCTGCTGAGCTCTTTTTCTGGCTTTAGTAGAAAAACACTCTGATCTACAGCCCTGACAGCACATACAGACCCAGGAGTTGCCAGAAGTTGGAGATTGACCTCTGAATTAGGAAGGGTCTCAGCCTTTGAGAAGCTCAGCTCTACCTGGAGGAGAAAAACATATAAATGTAAGACAGGCAGAACATGAGTGAGAACTCTGCTGTCAGCCACTTCCTGAGCAAGGAGAGGTACTACATGAAGAAAGCTTCCAAGGACCCAAAGAATCTTCTAAGGATCCCCAGGAATATTTAAGAAAACATAGGCTGGAGTTTAGGCTGGAGTTCTGGAAGGAAGGACGACACATCACATGAAAGAGAGAAACAACTATCATCAGCACAACGCAACTAACAATACTGAAGATATTACTGTGTCAGAACACAGAACTTTCTCTGCCAAGTAAACCAGCCAGAAACCCCACAGCCTTCTTTCTGTTCCTTTTGGGGGTCTCAGATTTAAAAAAAAAAAAAAAAAGCCTAGTCTTTATCTCAAGACTCTTTGCAACAAGGAACAAGGCTGATCTCAGTCCTCAGAAGCTAGTCTTTGGAATTCAAGGCACAGCCAAGGAAGCAGATTCATAGAAATTTCACAATGAACACAAAACTACTACTTCCATCAGCCATTCACAACTGTCTATCCAGCATCAAATACCAGCAAGTCCAAGTGCCTGCTGAAGCAAAAGAGCAGCCCTTAGCTCTCCAAGCTCACACTCGCAGCTTACACTAATGCATTAAGTGTGTTAGGTTGAGATCCTACTGGGTTGTGCTTGTTATACAAGCCTACGAAGATGGATATATGCAAAAACTCCCTGCATCTCCCAACAGCCCCTCAAAATGTTCACTATATGCTTGCTCCATACATTACAGCACCCTTCACCATTCACATAGCGCAGTCACACAGCACTCCACACAGTATAAACCACACAGGGCTAAACATATTAAGTATGCTTCACAGTCTCTTCATTGATTGCCGTACATTGATTGCAGACATTTAGTCATACCCTCAGATATGACTCCTACCTTATTTCTGAAACACATGGAGACACTGAAGATAGTAGAATCAGCGATGATTTTTCCATTAGGAAAGATGACATAAACCACAAGTTTTGGAGCTGGGGCATAGATCGAGTTGAAGGTAAGAGGGATGGAGAAGGAGCCTTTCAGCACTAGATGGAGGGAAGAGAAAAGAAGAGAAAGAAGCAGTTTTGGTAATGGAAATGGACTTTGATCAGTTTTTGTCATCATTATATATATGCCTGTTTTAATTCCTTTTCTCAGGTCTTTCAGTTCCAAGGAGATTTCTGGAGATCACTGAAAAATCAGCATGTCTCTGGATCTTCTATTCAAGATCAACAGAATGATCTTTCTGATTCTTTTCACTGCCTCAACATGCTACTTGATGAAATGAAACAGCTACTTGGAGTTTTAGCTTAGATCCACAAAGCATGAGAGTCTTGGACATCATTCAGAGTCTCCCATCACCAAAAATCTCCCATCCTATCACTAAATAGAATGGTGATCTTTGTCCCAAAGCACTTTTATATAAAGAAAGGACAGATGGAGAAGCGGAAGACAGTGAGTCAACACCCATCAAGATTATAAACTACTCAACTACTCAAACTACTCCTATCTGCTTAAAGATTATTTGGAAGCACAACTGCAAATCAAAGGAGGAAGATTTTGAAAGAAGATAAGTCTGCAGCTTCATGTCCCTTGCAGGAGCAACAAAAGGAGACTTCTTTGAAAATACAGGCAACAGAGGTTGAACAGAGGTTGGGAAATGTTGAGTATTGACCTCTCCGTGACAAACAAAAGGCTAAGGAAAGCATGCAGGTTAGAAACACAAGAGGTTCTGATGCAATACAAATACAGCATTGCAAAGAAGCTTATACCATGCATCCAAGTGAGGAAATCACAGAACAGTGAGGGCTTGCTAGATATGAAAAAGGAGAATACACTTACTTCTTGGTAGCCCAACCCAAACAGTCTTCTGACCTGTGTGGACTATCCCTCCCTTCCCCATGACCTAGGGAAAAAGAAAGAGAACTATGCATATACATAGTAGCTTGCCTGCATACAAGGGCTAGTTTCTAAAATATTTCTATTCATCTGCCCCAGGGAAGACAAACAGCTGTTCAGGTATTGAATGTTCCCCAAATACTAAAGCTTTTGCACCCAGGAATACCCCTGGTATACCATTGCTACTCAGTTAGATAGATGCTGTGGCAGCAGCAACAAATACCACTTGGGGAAGGACAGATAAGGCACACATCTGATCTGGACCTGTGCAGGGCCCAGGAGAAGGGTGCCACCTTTCCTCCTGTATCTACAGCCGTATGATCAAAACCAGAATCCAGTCCCATGATGGCTGAGAAAGGGCTACCTTTCCTGGTCTAAGACAAATTTATTGAGCATTAAGCTTGAAACTGTAGAGATGATACTTTTTGTGTCTTATGCTGACCCACCAGCACTTCCCCGGAAACTCACAAAGTAGGAAAAAATGACACGTTTAGGCCCATGTTCCAGGTCTTCCTGGTAAATTCTGAAGTCCACCTGGACAGTATGCTTTTTACCACAGGGTATCATTTCAGGCACATGGACAATAGTGAGGAAACTTCTGCTGGTGCTGTAGAATGGATGTACGGAATGAGTGGCTTTCTGGTAATTCAAATCAACTGTCCCAAGCTTTCTATCAGAATCTGAATGCAGAACACTTGCCTGGTGAGATTTAAACAAACAAACAAAAAACCCACAGTTACAGTCTAAAACTTTTCTGATGGGGAATGAGAACCAAGACCAGATATTCCAAGGCTGAAGATCACCTTAGCTGTGGCTTGGTAGGAAGTTTAGAATGGGCCTGAGCACTACCATCACACAGGTCTCTGTGTGAAGAGCTCATGAGTAGAGCAACTGGGATCAGAAGAAGTCAAGGTTCGGAACATGCCGAGGTGTTTCAGGTTTGAATTATGGTCCTTCAAGAGGGCAAAGTGGAGATGTCAATAGGGCAGTAACTAGCTCCAAGTTGCATGCTTATCCCTTGCACAGTCAGTGAGACAGACTTTTCCTCACCCACCTCCAGGGAGGCTGACGTACTGTTCCATGCAGTCGTGTTCAGGCTAAACGAAACTGTCCCAGAGTCCCCAGTGATGTATTCTTCCTGAAACCACTGCTCACCATAGTTTCCTATGAGAAGAACTTTTTTGTACTTCAGTGGCTTGCCTTGGTGATCGATGACTTTAATCTGAGAACACCATGGGGAAAGAAGGGAGCCCAAAAGTGTCTAATCAGTGGCCGGAATATCTTACTTCCCCAAGTCAATAGCAGCATTTCCCAGATTAGCCCTCCAGAACTAACAATATTATCAAAATTGTTACTGATTACCTGTTATATTTAATTTATGTTTCTCTGTTAATTCATCTGTATGATCCAGGTGTGATGAAACTCCTATACTCATGAAACAACCCCACCCCTCCCAAGCAAAAGGCCTCCCAGCTGCTGCAATTCCAAATGATTGATGTTTCCCAAAAGCTTATTTGGCAAATGACAGTCTTGGGAGAATAGGGAATCTCACTTTTGATGATTCAAGATTTTTTTTCTGTGAGTCACGCCCTCCCAAGGCTTTTGCTGGAGCACAACCAGGCATTTTTAGATAATGGTCATTATGAACACATTGTTCATTCTCTATTCTCCAAAGGGCTGTAGCAGAGAATTACCTTCCCCCTGTACATGTCTCCAGCATGGTAGTAAGAATTCATATCCTCAAACAAGGCCACCCCACTGATCTTGGATATGAATAATTTCTGGGAAGCATTGACCTGTATCTCTGAGTAGAAGCAAAAAGACAGAAATGTAAGAGAGTGAGCTAGGAAACCAGGCACACTCAGCAATTACCTTGCAGAACAACCCACTGGTAATAATGTTGTGCATGTTTGGCTGCATGCGCACTGCATGCCAGGGAGACTGATTTGCCCAGACCTGTGGGTATCTGGTGCTCCTCCCAGTTGCTTCTAGCCCTTAGAAAAGGCCCTAAACTTTACTGCATGAAACTAGACCACAGGCACTCAGAGCAAGAGGGCCATGCCTTCAGGCACCAGTGGCTCTGTCCATATCTTCATTAGACTGCAGGCCCCAGTGTGCTTAGAGAGCCAGGCCCAGAGCCCTTGCAAGCGTGAAGTTCTATGGTGTTCCTGATAACGTCTTTGTATCGTCATAGGCTTTTCTCAGCCTCTATAGACATTTCCAGTTACCTGAGCCATTTTCCACAAGTGAAGCCTCTACAAGTATGCTATCCTGATAGTGCCAGAAGTCTTGGCTAAAGGAAGACAGAGTCACGTTTGTGAAAAAGCATCCCATTTTGTCTGTCTGAAAAGAGAGAGAAAGGAAATAAAGTCTCCACAAGGCAATTATGTTAGAAATTATCCAAAGGTGAGAGAAACAGCATGAAATTCCTTTTCACAAGGGGTTTGCCTGCTCTGTAAAGGACTGTGAAAGGCTAATCTGATTCAGAGAGACGCAAGAGGTGGCATTTGGCATTCCCCTCTGAAGACTCCTCGTACTAAATCTTTTTTTTCCTTTTCTGTGCAGTTTGGTCCTTCTAAGAAGACAGTACACCCCAAGAAACACACTTAAGTGCACAGAAAAAAACCCAAATGTATTCTTTAACACTTTCCAGAGCACACTATTACATCAGCTGATATGCAGGTCAGAGCCAGTCCTTGTTTAAAACAGCAGTTATTCCTTGAAGCAAGGGACTGTGCAGAAAAACCAAACATTAGGTCAAAGACGTCAAGGTCCAGCTTCCATCAAAAAATCAGGTAAGTGGTCAAACTAACAGCCACAGAAGAGGCCTATTGTGAGGTGTAGCAGGAAATGGAACTAGAGAAGGAGGAAATATAAGCCTTGAGGACCAAAGAAAGATGCACATCTCACACTCTAATAGCCTTGTGCTATTTTGAGAATTAGCTGCTCTGTGAGGATGCTGGACCTCATCCTTCTCCACAGAGTGAATAACAAGAGTGAAGCTCTAAGCAGTTTTTATAGGGTCTATGAAATTCTTGTCTTTGAGCAGAATAAGGCCTCCTGGAGTGTCACATGGGTTTTGGAGGTGGGGATTGGTTACTGCCTTTTGTGTGCAACAGAGAAATCAGAACCATCAGGATGCTGTCCTCAAGAAAGAAAGGCTTCTTTGAAGAAGCGTGGTTTTTCCTCTGGCCCTGGGTTTCCAGATATTACTATAGGTTGAATAAAATAAGCTGCAGCTCCATATGAAAATATCAGATGGTACAGATGGCAGTCAGAAATGTAGAACAGGCATGTGATACATACCAGGTCACAGTTGCCAGACAGTTACTAAGAGGCAGCACCTACAGGCTCCATGGCCAAGCAGCCAAAACTATGGGGCAACATCACTATTTTTTCAGCTGAAGCCACCAGCATTGTCTTGCCTCACCCTGTGTCTTAGCATAAACATCACTGAATGGGATTCAGCTCCTGCTAAGCAGCTCACCTGGTTGTTGAATTCCTGACAGAGATCAGATTTTGAAGCATTGTACAAGAATGAGGCTGTTTTCTGACAAAGACTCATATGTACCATCCCCTGGACACCCTTCCCATAGGTATATCTGTTTGGGAGAGAAAAGAAAGGAAGAGACACTTATACACAGTGAGAGAACACAGGGTTCTCTCAAATAGAGTTGGTCTGCATATATTGAGAAACAATTTATTCATGGATATTCACAATGTAGCACAGTGGCAGCTGTAGAGCAAGCACAAGAGGCCTGAAGCACTAAACAGGGTCAGGCTTGGACACTGCAATGATGGGAGAACTTCAAATTAAATATCATAGCTGGATGATAAGTTATGACTTCCAAGAGCGCCCACACTGCCCTTTCCCATTATCTTTGTCCATGATAAGGTATCCAAGGACTCTATTCTCAGAAACCGGAGTACTGTAGGTGCTGACTAGGTTCTGACTTGGCATACACTGCTACACTTTCAGTCAGCATCAGCTATGATACTCCCAGGATACACAGGAGGCATTTGCCATAACTAGAAGCATGGGTAATTCAGAATATTCATTTACTGTTAAGGCTGTTAAGCCTAGTGCTAGCCTTAGACTGTAATTAGGGCAATTACTTTTTTCTTCTCCATAGATTCCCATAGGGCATAATTCGAAAAGGCTTTCCTTCATTTCCCATAAATTTGTTCTACAGTGAGATTAACATCAAACATCTGCCATGCTCTATCCCACAAATATCTGCTTGCCAAAGAGTAAGTTGTTGCTCCATCTTGGACTTCTGGAATATTTTTAGAGTAGGAACATTAAAGTAACAAAAGGATGCCTCAACAATGATCATGTTACATCAGGGTGCTGAAATACCTGCCTTGGAAGATCCTGGCCTCCTGTAAGAGATCTGTAGTAATTTTTTCCTGAAATCCACAGTTTTACATGACCAACTTATGCTCAGGTTAGGGTGGAATTTAACACAGGGCCCATATTTCTGAGAAGAATCCTCACCTGCCACAAACGCGGAGTGGAAAGGTTTTATCTAGTGCATAAATCTGAATTGGCCCCTCAAAGAACATGTCAAATTTTGGCAGCCCTGGAAGGAAGAGACAGAGAACTGTAAGGAAAGATGTCCATGAACAGCTGGTCCAGAGAATAAACGTAAAGACAGATTGTGGTGGATTGAAAGACAGGAAATAGGGTGGGAAGATGGTGGTAAGAAGGATAAAGGGAAGGTTACTGTTGGCTATCTTAAGAGATTTGGGTGCAGTTCTTGGATGACTGCCCCTTCCCAAACTAAAATCCAAGCAAGTCTATGATCCTCTATTTCCTTCTGAGAAGAAATTAGCCTCCTGGTGCAGGTAACTAAGGGATGAGAGAGAAGTGGGATAGTACTATGCTTATGACTTTCTTGAAAAGACAATTCTTATAACTTTGTCTTGTCTGATACAGAGATCTGCAGAAGTTAACATTATCAAAGCTCTAGGACCATGCACAACACTCCTCCCACACACTGACCCAAGGTCCAAAAGCAGTCACTCTTCTGAGCCTCAGCTTGGGCCCTTTTCTGTAACAGATGTTACTGCTTTTCCAATCTATTCTTGGGATGGTTATCTTGGGATAACTATTCTGCTTTCTGGATCAAGTATGAGTTCTTCTTTGCAACTCAGATAGTACACTCTCCCCCACTCATACCATACTCCTGAACAGAGAAGCTGGCAAATGCCTTCCCCTTGGTTACGTTGATGACATATGTCCCCAGCACAGGCTCATGAGTTAGCTGGAAAGACAGGTCTGCAATGCCATCTTGGGGCATCACATCCAGCCACTGTCCTATGCGGTTGTTCTTAGGGTCCTACATCCACAAAAGAGAAGAAGAAGCAGTGTTTTTCTCCATGTTCAGTATAGTCTATGTTCAATAAATGTTGAAGATAATGTAATGCTAGATTCTTCTCGCATTTGGTTTTCCATCTACACTTCTCTAAAATCTCATCTCAAGAAATGATTCTTTACAATTCTAACCTCTTATCATAAAGGCCTAAATTGATCACATATCCACATTCTTGCAAGTCTGGAATGTAATGTAATGTAATTTTTACAAAAGACACCGAAACTGTAGGGAGTATGTTAGTTTAAGAAAACTTGAAGCTCTACCAGTCCAGTCACAGGTCTAAAATCTACGAAGATTTTAATATAAATAGTACGTTGAAATGGCTGCAATCTATAATACTAGATTTCAGTATCACTCACCTGGATAAATAGGGAAAACTGGAGAGAAAAAAAAAGGCAAAACATTAGAAGAGATAAAAACATGCCTGCAACACACACAACATACTTCATATAACTTTGCCTTCTGTCTGAATTATCACCTCTTATTCTAGCTACTTTCCTCTGGACACTCATCAGCCCTGGCCCAGGGGTGGATGTGAGGGATAAGGAAAAGTTGGAACTATGGCAGAGGAGCTGGGAAGAAAGGGAGTAGCATTTAAGCATGGAATAATGTAGCCTTTTCTACAGCCCCCCAAGTGTCGCTTACCGAGTCATTGAGTCCCATGAAGTCCTCGTCCAGAGTCACAATACGAAATTTCACTGAAGTCAAGAAAATCAGGGAATATATTTAACTGACCATATCAGATCTCAGTCCTTCCCTCAGAGCACATCTCTGCTCTGCCTTTCTACCCTGGTTCTATCTCTATTGTATATATGTATTTGCAGTAACACCTAACACAGACTTTCACACATGGAGGATTTGGGCCATGTAAGATGCATAGTCACCACAAACTAGATGTCACAAACACTGAAAATATCACTGCAAATGAGACACTTTTTAAAACCTTTCTGCTAGGACTGTTCATGAATCTCAAGCTACAGTAGTCTCTCCATGAAGTGTTACTAGCCCCCAGAGTCTAGGCCATACATGCTCCTGTCTACAGCTCTCACCTGTCTGCCCTGGATAATAGATGGGCTTGTCCGTCTGGATGAAAATGCCACTGCTTGCCTTGTGGATCAGGACCTTCTTCTTCTCCTCAATACTGACCTCTCGGCCTGTGATGGTCAGAATTACAGTAGCAATTTCCTCTGTGCCATCAACTGGAGGTGCAACCTATACAGATAGAGGAGAGCATGCAGCCCCCAAGTAATGTTCTGATGGCCCTGAGCTGGAATTCATGGCAAGGTGGAAGAGATAACCAATCCCTTCTCTTACGTCCCAGGATATCCCCTCAAACATCCAGACCCAGATTATTTTCAGCTCTTACTCACTACACTGTACACTACACTGTAGCAGCAGACCCTGTGGGCCATGGTCTACATCCCTTTTATCACTGGCTCAGGAGTTTTGCCTTGCTCTGAGGACAAGGAGGTGACTGAAACCTTTGGTTCTCCAAACATGGCGAGGAAGATGCCTCAGAGGGCAGGTGCCAGAAAGGTGGGAGATGGTAGCACAGAAGACAGAAAACAGTCTGTAATATAGCCTCAAATGCTAGACTTCCACAACTTACCAAACACGTATGAGCAAGAAAGCCACATTATGGCCAGAGCAAATCACAGGATTTTCCTGTCTCCAGCAACTTCAGCATAGAAAATGTATAATAGAAGGGTTATGGTTTACACAAGCCTTCCTTATCCTAGATCTTAAATTCTCACCAACAATGAATGAACTCTAACAAGCACATTCATTCCCATCCAATTGCTTTTGTTGTTGTCTCTCTCCAGAAAGACATGCAAGTCACCATTTCTCCAAGCTCTCCCCAAGTCCTAGCTATGGAGTTGTGCAAGGCCTTCATAGAAAAACCTACTTCGCTTGGGCTGGAATAGAGGAAAAAGATAGATTCTTCTTGTGTATCCAGAATGATGGTAGAGTGCAACAAATGAAATTAAAAGTTAGATCCAAAGGAGGACTGTTGATCAAGGGATGCTGTGCTGGGCTACCTCTTGATAGGTACCACCCACCCTCCTCCTAGAAGACTTACTCCAAGGTGAAGTGAAGCCTGTCTGGGAGTATTTACAGTTCTTGAAGAGAGAATCAACAATGGCATTTGCCTGTTATAGCTCACCAAGAACTTAGTGCATTTGAAGGTCTTCTCTTTCTGAATGGTTTCTTGCATTAACATATCACGTCCTGCAGAGCGCTCCAGGACCAGATTCACTTGAATCTTTGCTTCATAGCAGGTGATATGAAGGCAGGCAACTTGGGTGGATGGGTAGCGGAGATCTGCAGGGATCACCGCCAGGTAATGTCTGGGGAAGGGCAGAAGATGACATCAGCAGTGACATTAATATGAGGGCTCAGAGATGCAAAAGAGCTTTGCAGTTGCACAGTCCCCCACTGGAGCAGCCCACCACTGGAGAATTTCTCACTGCTATGCAAAGACTTCAGTCAACATTCAAAAGCAAGCAATCCCCCTGAGAGGGCTGCCTCACTGCTATTGAGAAATAGTTTCAGTATGATTACAGTATGATGTTCTATTCAACTCCTTTACCTTATTCATCTCCAAAACTCCTCAAAATAACCCCTTGGGTGTCTGCGGTCTTCCGGCAGAGTTGGATTCATAGCACAGCAATCTAGATACCAGTGATGTGATCTGGCATGGAAGCTAGAGAAACAAATATACCTGGGCCTAAGTTCTTATATGGAAGTCTCCCCACTCCTTCTTTACCTCAAAAAGTCTTCTATTTAAACTTACAGGAGTTGCTCTAATGCAAGACATGGAAACGAAGATAAGAGACTCCGCTGCCTTTTGGGTTCATCAGAAACAGCAAGAAGTAGGATAGCTGGCTGCGTGGAATATGGTATATCTACCTAGTCTTATGCCTTTATGAAGAGGACTAAAACAGAAGTTCAGCATCACTCACAGTCGGTGAAAAGCAGCTGCAAGGTGGAGCAGAAGGCTCAGGAGAATGGCTGTCCACATCCTTGGAGGCTCTTGCTGCCCAACCTCCAATGGTCTTCTTCCTCTTAGATCACTGAGGCTGCTTTTTTGAGGGTAATTTCTTTCTAGGACAGCCTAAATGGACAGATGGAATGGAGGAGGAGCCACCTTCTCCCCACCTCTTTCTCTCTCCTGACATTTTACTCAACAGCAGTATAGAGGGGTATACTGTGCCAAACATCCCATAACCAATAGAAGCCTGTCTGGCTGCCATCCACCAGTAGTTCAGAACATCCTCTTCTAAAAGGTTCCCATGGAGACATTTGACCACAATGGCTATTCATGAAAAGAAAAAAAAAAAAGAAAAAAAAGAAAAAAAAAGAAAAAAAAAACAAGAAAGAGAAGACAGAGAGAGAGAGAGGACTGCTCAGTGACCCAGTCCAGGTCCTGATCACCTGTCACTCACGTCCCTTTGTTTCAGCTGGAAATGTATTGCTGCTATTCAGCCAACAGCATGCAGTAGGCAGTGCTGTTGTTTGGGACAGAGGGCTCAGCAGCTCCACAAGATCACATTATGCGTTTATAACTCTCCTTTGGGATTTAGAGATCCTGTTAGACTTAAGAACATAGAAAAGTTCCTTGTTCATGCACAGGGTAGCACAGTATCAACACTGCCACCAGTCAACACCCACTAATTAGTAAATGATGGTCCCAGTTTGACTTTTCCTTCCCTGCACCCACACACATACAAAATGAAACACTCACTGGCCAAGAGAGCTTTCCACCAACTCCCTGCCACACCTGTTAGCAATGGCAACATCTGCAAGGAGAGGGTCTTCAAGGGTTCAGGAACTGGTTCAAGTTCTTTGTTCAGTTTTGAGTCTGAATGATCTAGGGTATTTTGAACAGGAGCATCTATTTCTAGCTCATAATTAAACATAGACTGTTCCCTAGCATTGAGGAAAACCTATACAGAAGATAGACATTCATTCTAAAACATCTCGGTTTCCAAAACAGTATGCCCATGCATACTGTCTGGTTTGCATGGTCCATAAATTTCATTAACACCTGACCCATGCTGGTGATTTCTGTGAGAGAGTATTAGTTAGCCCGGGCTGAAATGCACTAGGGCCCTTCTTAATAATACAGAGAGTTAAGGTTCTGCCTCTGAAAATATTTCCCAGCACCATATGAAGTTTCCATATAAAGTTACTAACATGGTATTTTTCAAGCATGTGGTTAGGATTTTCAGCAAAACCATATTCCAAGATGCCTAGGAATTTCTAAGTATTCCTGGATTCCTTGCTCCCAAAGCTCTCCATACTCTTTTTCAGGTGGATTTGAAAGACTGATCTCCATTTTACTTTTAACACTTGACTACTCTAGAGCAAGAGAACTCCAAAAGAACTATACATTATAGTGTACACACTATACATAATGTAGGTGGTGCTACCACTGCCTTTGTCTCTAGTGAGTACTTCACTACTCATTCTCTGGGTTTTTTAGCTGAGCTGATTTGAGTTGGTCTAAATCAATGTTTGTTATTAGGCCACTTTTTCTTTCTTTCTTTTTCTTTCAATGGGCATTCTCCCTATTCCTGTCTCTTCATGCAAGAGTGTTGTGCTAGTGAGAACTGAAGGAATCATTTAAATTGCCTCTTTGCCTAAAACCCAAGAGTTATATACAGAAAGCAGACCTTGCCATAAATCAATATTTTGAGGACCAGCTGCTGGCAGATTTGTCCATGACAGGAGCTGCACCTACCTAGGCTGACACTGGACAGAGCTCCCTGACCCTGCCCCACTGTGCTCCTCCTACCCTGTTTGCCCAGGTGTGTTCTCTATTCCTTACTTGACATAGGCAAATCTAGCTCTTAGTCATATGACCATAGATTTGAAGGATCCCTTTTGAAGGCAATGGCTGACAGCTGCACAGGTGCCACAGATTTGAACATTCAGCATCTCTGAACTAGACAAAACAGAGCAAGATTAAGCACAGTTTCTAGCTCTGTGGTTTCTTCCTGTAAATGGACTAAAAGGAGGTCTTTGTGATAGAAGTCCTCATACCAGACACCCATAGGAAGGAAAAGATCTATCCCTCATGAAAAGAACCCGTTCACCTAAAACAGAGAAAATAGTAGAAGATGACAGTGCAAGAACAGATAGATTTCTGTTCTCTACAGAAGAGAAATAGAAATACAAACAACAGAATGGAAGAAAATGAGATTTAGTACTATGATCAAGGGAGACTCATACTGTGGTTAAGAATCAGGGCCAGGAGCAACAGACCACTCCTATATGTTGATCTCCTTGAAGGAAACAGAGAGGCAAGAATATTTATGTTTCCCATGAGAATTGGGAAAGAATGTTGTCTCACTTTGACAGGAGGCTATGCAGAAAGGAAGAAGACATCATTTTCTTTAAAGAACCACATCCATTAGAGAACTTGGAGTGCAGAAAAAGTAATCAAAGAAACCAAAATCATCTTCATTCTATTGTAGAGAGCCACCACCTGTTTCTAACAAGCCTAGGGCCTCCTTCTGCTTGAAAGTCTATGTTAGAATCCATGCAGTTTGTAATACTTGCAGAGGCTTCTGCAATCTACCTAGCACACATAACATAATGGAATGTCTTTGAAGTATGTCTCCATAATCCTAATGTAGAACACTGCCCCACTCTCTGTTGTTTTGACAGTAGAACCTGTCCACTGCCCCAAAGCCAAGTAAGGAATTGCGAACACACCTGCACAAACACAGCAAACGGAGTAGGCACAGACTGGGCCAGAGAGTTTAAAGGTAGAATAGTGTATATTGTCCTGTGCCTCTGTCAATGCTTGGCTTCTATGCTGAGACCGTTCAAAGCACAAATTAATTTTGGAGGCAAACCCAGAAGTCTTTATCAGAATTAACCCCATATTCTGAAAACTTTGCCCAGGAAGTTAGTGTAAGCCATTAGACTGTAGGCTTATAATTCTCTAGCTCGAATGAACTTTGGGGACTCATGAAACTATGCCCCAATTATTAATCTGCGTAAAAATTCTAAGTGAGTTTGGAAACCTTCAAGAAGGCTCCCAAACCATGGGCAAGCTATGAATCTCTCTCCAAAAGAACAGGTGTGAACTCTGAAGGCTGCAGGTTGGCTATGGAACGTATTTTTCACAAAACAACACAAAAAAACTAGTACAGCTCAGTTCTAGCCAAAGAATCCAGAGACCCATGCATCCCAGAGAAAGAGCCCCTTCAGAATCTTCTTGGTTTAGTTCCACAACTATCTGACCTATAAATTCAAATCTAGGGGTCAAACAACTGATACTCATGGAAGTTGAGATCTGTATCCAAGTTGGTAAGCTGGAACCACAAAAAACACAGGATTTAGAAACCCCTAAAGACCTCCATGGCTTATGAAACTACACACTGACTGAATTCCAAGTAGGACCAAGCATGCAAATTCCTTTTTGCTAACAATGCCTAGCTGCTTCCCGCATATTAGCTACTCAAGGTTACTGTGGCTGAGATAAGGAAATGGTTCTAATAGATTTAAGGGGCCTCTAGGATACAAGTCAAGTCCCACCTAGACGTGTAACCCATGTGTCCAACTTGCGAGTTGAGCAGCCTCCCTTCAGCAACTGTCCGCACAGCTCCCGAGGCTTCCCACACAGCTCGGATTGTAAAAGATTTTACTAAATCTACACAGCTTAACCCCTTGTGAACCTTGAGTGACAGTATCTGGCCCTCTCTTGCCTGCCTTGCAGTCACAATCTCTAATATATTTCTCAGATGTTACGTGAGATCCTTTGTTTTGTAAAAGTTATATACTTACTTGGTTAAGTGGCATCCTAGACCATTTACACCCAAGGAGTTCCTTTTTGATGGCACACATATCAAAGGTCATTATGTAGGGCAACAGTTCTAGTAAACTAATCTGAGACACTGTGGTAGCTTGGTAGAATTGGTATTTATTGGAGTACCTTGAATAATGTCAAACATTGGCAGCAGACTATACCCAAAGTAAAGATATTTTCTAAAATTTTTGTTACTATGCCATTTCCATCTGGAGTACATTCCTATGATTACTAAAAAAGGTCCAAAAGTCTAAAAATAAAATGCACATCATCAAGTATCATTGTAAAATAGATATTGAACGCACAATGCACAATGCCACTGGATCAACATATCCCTTGCTGAATTCTACCCCTGCACCTACTCCTTCTCACTCCCTCAGGATAATTCTCAAGGGCATTCCCCAAGTCAGACTCAGCAAGCATATTGCATCTGAACTATTTTGTTTTTCCCCACATGCTGTGTACATGCATACATTCATTTCTTCAAAATACCCACTGCTCTTGAAAAGTAACATCTAAAGGGCTCATCCAGACCCCAAATTACTCAAGATCCCACCCACAGTTCACAGGCTCTTTCTTTTCTATATAGGGGTCAAAGGGGGTCTTCTTAATCCTTCCCTTTCCTCTTAACTGTCAAGCAAGAAAGCATTAGTCCCTCAATCCAGACAAGCATAGGACCTGTTCAAATATGG